AGCTTGTCTCTGTCTTTTGTTTTAAAACACCGTCTGGACCCCAGTAGGCTTTTCCCCAGTCCTTCTCTGCCATTCTGCCAGATTCCCCCTCAACTAGGTCTGCTGTTTCTATTTATTGTTACTAGTTTTTTGCCCAAGTATTTTCAATTCCTTTTTTACCACATGCCTTTTGTGATTAAGGCACCGTACCTCACACTTCTTTTTTCACAACTCTCTAGTGCCCAAGACCGCCGGTGACTCTTTACCCGCCCTCTCTGGCACCAGGACACGTGGTCCCCTCTTTACCTTGCGCTCTCGGGCAGGATTCAGGCACATGGAAGACTTTTATTCAAGCAGAATGATGAATTCATTCAAGCAGAATTCAAGCAGTTGATGCAGGGAAAGGGCCAAAGGAACTTCCCCAAATCTGGCCTCCACATGAGAAAGCAATTTTTTCCTTAATCTTTGGCTCAGATCAGAAAAGCGATCAATTACATACTCTGATCTTCACAGTGAAATACAGCATTTTTATGCATTTTGTGTTACAGTGATCAAGTGCAGCGTGGACACTGTCCTTCCCCCTTAAACCACACACCCAATTCCATGGGATAAATAATCAATGATGGGCATTCCTATGGACAGCCCCAGATTCCCATGATTTTGTGGCATTTCACAGACATTGTAGTCCCCAGGCCTTGGGACCTTTCTATACATCCTATTCATTCACATTCCAAAGTTATTGACTATACTCCATCAGATCTGTCTCAGGCTTCCTTATCTCTGAGGACAGCTTGAATTGTATTTCATGTGCTTATCTTTATCAAATTCACTTATTCCTTTTATATTTCTCTGTCTCAATTATATATGTAAAAGTTCAAATGTCACTTTGTTTTAACTAATTGCAATAAGGTTAATTTCTGTTATAAAGTTAGTTATAACGTGTAAAATTATGCAGCTACTTCTACTGTTAGCACTTTGTAATTAATGGGCTGTGAACAATCCATATTGTTCAGCGTGTAAGAGAAGGCATTTCTTAAGATAATTAACTTTTACATCTAGGTTTAAGTGTTTGTTTTTTTTTCCTAATGCTTGTATTATCCTTGGGTGTATGTTTCCTTTATGTTGAAACCTACTTCTATGATTATCTGAAGAATCTTTAACTGCAACCTATTTCTTAATATTGCAAGTGACTTCAAAGAAACTATTTACTACGAAATAACTTTAGCAGCCTTTGCAGCTGCTTAGGGAGTTAATCTGAGACAACAAGGTGCAGAGCTGGACGAACACAGCAGGCCAAGCAGCATCAGAGGAGCAGGAAGGCTGACGTTTCGGGCCTAGACCCTTTCATAGGCTGAGACTCACGCCTGGTGTAATTCATTTACTGGGACAATCATCCTTTCATAAATGAAGGTCAGACAGCATCTGAGGAGAAGGGAAGTTGATGTTTTGGGCCAAAACCCTTCAGTGGGACTGGGGAGAGGGAGGGGACTGAGTAGGTGCGATGGAGATAGTTGGATGCAGTTGAGGGTTATTGTGGTTGGTCAGTAGGAAGGGTGGAGTGGATAGGTTGGAGGTGGAGTGGATAGGTTGGGGGTGGAGAGATTTTGAAGCTGATGAAGTTAATAAGGTAAAGTCAATAAGAGCTGTAAGCATCAGTGTTGTTCGTCCAGTTTACGTTTGCCCTCACTCTGACAGTGGAGGAGGCCAAGGATGGACTGTCAGCAGGGGAGTGGGAGGGGGGAGTTAAAGTGTGTGGCAACCGGAAGGTCAGGTTGGTCGGTGCGTGCAAACGAGTCCCTGAGTTTGCGTTTGGTCTCCCCGATATAGAGGAGACCACATCGGGAGCAACTGATGGAGTAGACGAGATTAGATGAAGTGCCAGATTTGGAAGGATTGTTTGGGGCCTTCGACAGAGGTGAGAGGGCAGGTGTAGCACCTCCTGCAGTTGCAGGGAAAGGTACTGGGTGTGGGGAGGAGTTGGTGGGGAGTGTGGAGCTGACGAGGGAGTCACAGAGTGAACAGTCCCTGCGGAAAGCAGACAGGGCTGCAGAGGTGACTATCTTTTTGGTGGTGGGGTCTGATTGTAGGTGGCAGAAATGTCAGAGGACAACGTGTTGTATTTGGAGGTTGATGGGGTGGTATGAGAGGACTAAGGGGACTCTATCCTTACTGTTGTGGGGGGTGGGGGGTGGGGGAAAGATGGGGTTGAGGGCTGAACCATGGGAAAAGGGGGCAGATTCGGTTGAGGGCATCCTTAATAACAGGAGGGGGAACTACGGTCCCTAAAGCAGTAGGATATCTGGAAAGTCCCAGAGAAGACCGCTTCATCCTGGGAGCAGATGCAGCGAAGGCAGAGGAAGTGTGATATAGGATAGAATTTTTGCAGGATGGGTGAGAGGAGGTATGGTGGAGGTAACTTTGGGAGTTAGTGGATTTGAAATGGATATCAATGGTGAGTTAGTTACCAGAGACGGAGACGGAGAGGACCAGGAAGGGGAGGGAGGTGTCAGAAATGGTCCTGAGAATTTGAGGGCACGGTGGAAGGTGTTGACGAGGTTGATGAAAAGTTCAAGCTCCTCGCAGGAGCACAAGGCAGCACCGATACAGTCATTAATGTGGCGGAGAAAGAGGTGAGGGACAGTACTGCTGTAGTTATTGATAAGGGACTGTTCCACGAATCCTACTAAGCGGCCAGGTCAGAACTCACACAACACCAGGTGATAAACCTGTTTGGACTATTTGTAAACACAAGCTTTCAGAGCCTCACTCATCCTTCAGGTGTTAGTGAGAGAGGTAATATCAGACACAGAATTTATAAGGAAAAGATCAAAGGGTCACGCCACTGCTGAGGAGTGGAGAAACAATGCCATGTTCTTCTCTGCCTTCAACACATTATCAATGATGATGAGCACCTCATCAATATCTTCCCCACACCTTCACTTCTCACCTTCAAATAAACATCAAATTTTAGACACCAGCACCTCCACATCATCTCCACTACAAAGAGGCAGGCATATCTACTCCAAAACCTTAGAGGCAGGCATAGCTTGGGCCCATGTGGGTGTCCATAGCCACGCCTCTGTTTGCAGGAAATGGGAGGAATCAAAGGAAAAATTTGTTGAGGGTGAGAACTAGCTCTGCCAAGTGAATGAGTGTGTTGGTGGAGGGGGACTGGTTAGGCCTATACGCGAGGAAGAAGTGGAGGGCTTTTAGGCCATCCTTGTGGGGGATACAGGTCTACAGGAACTGAACATACATGGTGAAGATGAGGTGTTGGGGGCCAGGGAATTGAAAGTTTTGGAAAAGATGGAGGGCTGGGCCATGTCCCAAATGTGAGGAGTTCCTGGACAAAAGGGGAGAGAATGGAGTCAAGGTAGGAGGAGATGAGCTCGGTGGGGCAGGAGCAGGCAAAGACAGTGGGCGGACTGGGGCTGTCGGGTTTATGGATTTTGGGAAGGAGATAGAAATGGGCTGGGTGGGATTGGGGAATTATCAGGTTGGAGACTATGGATGGGAGATATCCCAAGGCGACGGTGTTGTCGATGGCTTGGTGATCAGAGGTGGGGTCGTGATCGAGGGAATGGTAGGAGGAAGTGTCAGAGAGTTGGTGATTGATGTTGCAGCGGCTGTTGGAGATGAAGAGGTTGAGGGAGCGTAGGTGGCCAGGAGGGGGTGTCCAGGAAGATGGAGTTTGCTGGAGTTGGGAGAAGGGGTCGGCAAAGGAACGCAGACTAGGGGACTGGTTCGCAGAGCACCTGTGCTCTGCACACACCAACCAACCTGACCTTCCTGTTGCCATCCACTTTAACTCCCCCTCCCACTCCCCTGGTGACCTGTCCATCCTTGCCCTCTTCCACTATCAGAGTGAGGCCAAACTTAAACTGGAGGAACAACACCTGATATTTTGCCTTGGGAGCTAATATCCCGTTGGGCTTAATATTGACTTCACCAGCTTAAAAATTTCTCCACCCCCAACCTGTCCATCTCCTGACTCCCCTATTGACTCCACCTTTCCCACTGACCAACCACAATAATCACCTACGTGCATCCAACTATCTCCATCCCAACTACTCTCTCCCAGCCCTACCACGCTCCCTCTTTATTTCTGGACTCTCCTCCCCCAGTCCTGACGAGGAGTTTCAACCTGAAACATTGACTTTCCTGCTCCTCAGATGATGTCTGACCAGCTGTGCTTTTCTAGCTCCATATTTATTGACTCTAGCTTCCAGCATCTGCAGCCCTTACTGTCTCATTTCATTAATGAAGCTGGAATACATTGCTTGGCTATCCTTGGCCATCCTTTTATCAGACTTATCTCAGATGGTTGCTTGCAGGGCCCCTTTACTGATCTTGGAGTAGTCCTGTTCAACGGTACCATTATGTTTTGTGTGAGCAGGATTTTTAGTTTTGCGTAGTTTCTGTCTACCATTTTGTAAGCAGGCAGGGGTCACTTTAGTATAGGCAGGAACAGGTCACTTTTTTGGACAGGTATGGGTCACCCCCAGACAGACCCTACATTCCATTCCCAGCCTGTACATCTGTACCACATTCGCAATCTCCAACCCAATATCAGCTTTCATCCCTCTATCCCACACCCAGCTTGAACGCAATCTCTCTCACCAACCATTTCCTGCAGTATCCCATATCTAGCCAGACCCAAAAATCCCAAAGCCAACATGTCCCCAATACCCACATTCAGCCTGCACCCCAATATCTAATATCTGGCCAGTAGCCCAGTATCCCATGCTCACCCTGTGCCCAGTATCTCATACACCAGCTGTACTCCAATATTTCACAATTAGCCAGTACCTCTAAATTCCACACAGCCTGTACCCCTCACCCATTCTGTATGCTTATGTCCAAGACTATATACCCCAAAACCTATCACGCACCTCATAGATGGTCATACATACCCACAGTCACCTCTCACTCCTGTATCACAAATGGAGCCTGTACCCTTTTCACCTAATTCATGCCCAGATTGAATGTTTCACATTAAACTGCTTTTTTTCCTTCTGCAGGCTAAGAAAGAAGACTATAATCGGAAACGGAAAGAAGCCGAAGAGCTCGAATATCAGAAGAGGAAGGAGATTCAGCGAGAAAAAGCCAATAAGCTCCTGGAGAAGCAGAGACAGCAGGAGGCACAGAGAAAAGCGCAGCTCCAAGCAGAACACCAGCAGTGAGTTTCAGATTTAACAGCTAGCTTCATACTGCAACACACATTTGACAGTTTTGAAGGTGACAAACAAAATCCTCAGGGGACCTGCGGGAACCTAATATCAGTCCCATCCCCAAAAGGGGGTTGTGATGTTCAGTTGAGTGTGCTGGGGTTTAGCTGATGGACAGTCTCAGCTTGAGAGGCCCATTCAAACTCAGACAATGCTTGAATGGTGAGGGCTAGTGGCTGTCAGCTTCTGTAGCATTCTGCTTGACTACATAGTTATTACCTCCCATTTACCCCATTATGTGTTCAGGCAATTGTGGAAATGGCAGAAGAGAAGGAGACAGTTTATTCTTTGGAATGTAGGAGAATGAGGGGTGACCTTACTGCAGTGTATAAAATCATGAGGGGCATAGATAGCATGAATGCATATAGTCTTTTTCCCAGGGCTGGGGAATTGAAAACCAGAGGGCACAGGTTTAAGGTGAGAGTGGAGAGATTTGAGAAGGACCTCAGGGGTGACTTCTTTACACAGAGACTGGTGTGTATATGGAATGGGCTGACAGAGAAAGTGGTTGAGGCAGGTACAATAGCAACATTTTAAAAACATTTGGATAGGTGCATGCATGTGAAGAGTTTAGAGGGATATGGACCAAATGCGGGTAATTGGAACTAGCTGAGTGGGCACCATGGTCAGCATGGACCAGTTTGGGCCTAAGGGCCCATTTCCATGCTGTATTATTCTATCAATTCAGCCCATCATATCTCTGGCTGTGCTCAGAACTTCGAGAGCCAAGGGACAGGGATGAGTACGGTGGTTGTCACTAAGGAGAAGTTGCTTGGGAAGCTAAAAAGTCTGAAGGCAAATAAATCACCGGGCCCAGATGGACTACACCCCCAAGTTCTGAAGGAGATGGCTGCAGAGATTGTGGAAGCATTGGTGGTGTTCTTTGCAGAATCATTGCAGTCGGGGAGGGTCCTAGAGGATTAGAAAAATGGCTAATGTTTAAGAAGGGAGAGAGGCAGAAGACCAGAATACAAAGTTTGGTTAGCTGGACTTCAGGTATTGGTAAGATTTTAAGAGTCCATTATTAACAATGAGATTGCAGAGTACTTAGAAGTGCATGGTAAAATAAGGCTAAAACAGTTTGGCTTCATCAAGGGGAGGTCATGGCTAACAGATTTGTTAGAATTCTTTGAGGTTTAACAATCAATGGAGAGCCAGTGGATGTGATATATTTGGATTTCCAGAAGGTCTTTGATAAGGTGCTGCACAGGAGGCTGCTAATTAAGATAAAGAGCCCATGGTGTTAGGGGCACAGTACTGGCAGAAGGAAGAGAGTGGGGTTAATAAGGTCTTTGCTAGAGTGACAGCCAGACACTAGTGGAGTTCCACAGGGGTCAGTGCTGGGACCACAACTATTCATATTATAACACATTAATGATCTGGGTGAAGGAAAGGAGGGTATTCTTTCTAAGTTTGCAGGTGAAGCAAAGATAGGTGGAGGAATAAGCATTGAGGAGGTGGAGAGGCTGCAGAAGAACTTAGGCTAGGAGAGTGGGCAAAGAACTGGCAGATGGAATACGATGTGGAAAAAGAGAGAGGCTATGCACTTTGATAGAAAGAATAAAAAAGGTATAGACTAATTTCTAAATGGGAAAAGGCTTCAGAAGTTTGAAGCACAAAGGGACTAAGAGAATCCTGAACTTGGACTTCTTCAGGTTAACATGTAGGTTCAGTTTGCAGTTAGGAAGACAAATGTGATATTAGTATTCATCTCAAGGAGGGCTAGAATACAAGACCAGGGATGTACTGCTGAAGCTGTACAAGGCTGTGGTCAGATTGCATTTTGAATATTGAGCTGTTTTGGGTCCCATATCTAAGGAGGGATTTTCTGGCCTTGCCAGTAGAAGTTTACAAAAATGAGCCGGGGATAATGGCTTGTCATTTGAGGAGCATTGAGGGTTATGAATCTGTACTCAGTCAAGTTGAGAAAGATGAGGAGGTTAAGTTTCTGAATCTTATAGAATACTGAGAGCCCTGAATAGAGTTGACGTGGAGAAAATGGCTAGAGACTAGGCCCCAAGGTCACTGACTCGAAGTGAAGGGACAACTCTTTAGAACTAAAACAGGAAGGATTTTCTTCAGTCAGAGAGAGTGGTGAATCTGTGGATCTCATTGCCACAGAAGACAGAGTGCATTTAGGACAGAGTAAGGGCATCAAGGGTTACTGGGAGAAGACAGGAGAATGGGGATTGAGAAATATAATCGGCCATAAAGCGAATGGTGAAGCAGACTTGCTGGGCTGAATGGCCTAATTCTGCTCCTGTATTCTGTGGTCTAATGGTGTTATCAATTCAAATCCCATTCTCCACTCCGTTCAACCCTAAACCCTACCTAGAGTGCAGATTGCTGATGGAATTCCAAAGTGTTCAGCAATGACTGAATTGACTTCTCTTGTCATTTTATCTCACACTCACTGGGATCCATTTTGAATTTTGAACCCAAGTGTAAAGTGAGTGTCAGTGGTGAAGAGAGTGGATCTTTGTGAATAAGGTGCCCTGGTTGGTGTTGAGCTGCTTGCTGATTAGGAATTGTATTTATCCAGGCAAGTGTTGATAGTATCATTGAATGTCAAGGGGAAAATGGTTAGTTTCTCTTGTTTGAGATGGTTGTAGTCTGATCCTTGTGTGGCATGAATGTCACTTTCCACTTGTAAGCCTAAACCTGAATATTGTTAGATCCTGCTGCACTTGAACATGCACTGCTTCAATATCTAAGGAGTTGTGCAATTATCGGTGAAGGTCCATGAAATAACTCCATGAAGGCCAGTATGCAGTCACCTAGTCTCTCCTTATTTAGATGCACATAGAAGAGGACACTGACTCAGCTAGCTCAGTGACAGCTCCTAGAGTAAACCTAACCCTGACACTTTATATCTGAGCCAGGACACCCTGATTGGGGCTGTTAATCTGATCCCATGATGGACATTATACTATAAAATCCACCTGCTTGACCTTGTTCCAATCACTATCCCTTCCCCTCTAAGTTCGGATTGGGGGGGTTTTCACACCTGGTCTGGTTCCTCCGACTCTGCCTTGGATATTGGCGGTACGTACTGGATCATAGACCGTCCGTATACGAGGTGGTCTCAGCCAGTATTCTTCCTGTGGTAACGTCAGCTGCATCTGCCATATCCATCTCACCCTTGGGTTTTTTCACTAGGTGGAGGGGGAAGAACCCATGGGTTCCAACAGCCTTTCTGGCTGTTCTGAGGGGCCGGGTATGTTTTGCTCCTGCTCCGTTTGCAAGGTTTCATGTAGTCTATGTGCTTAACGGCCTTTCCTACCCAAACTTTGTACGTTATGGGACATGACCTTGTGTCAACCATGCCCCTCACCCATGCAGGGCCATTCCTGCGGTTTTGACACCAAACTTCAGTCCTTGAAGTAAACTGCCTCTCACTGTTAGAGGAGTCTTATATCCAGCATTGGCATTCCTGAGACTGTTTCACCACCACCAACCCCCTCCCCATTCAGGAAGATCAGGCTTAACCTGGTGTGGAGTCTTCTTCCCATTAGCAACTCTGCTGGAGCCATCCCTGTAATTAAGTGAAGAACAGGGACAGCTTGGTATTGACTGAAGCTGTAGGCTAATTCTTAAAGCCTGCCTTCAAAATTTGAACTGTTCTTTCTGCCAGATCATTGGACAATGGATGGTAAAGAGCTGTCCTTACATGCTGAATATCATTTTTATTTTAGGAAATTCTCAAATTCCCTGCTGGTAAATGTCGATTGTCTGTGACCAACAATTCTGGGAGTGTGTATATTGCAAAAGATGCTCGCAACTTTTCAACCATCGTCCCTATTTAAGGGATGAGCTCTATGCACATTCAGCCACTTAGAGTAGGCAACCACAGTGACTAAAAACAGAGTCTATGAAAGGGCTGAGTCCAGCATTTACTCGGCCATTCCCTTGAGTATGGGGGAGCTGCTGGCAGTAATTTGTCCTCATTGGCACTCTGGGCACTGCTGCACCAACATGGCTATATCAGCATCCAATCCTGCCCACCAGACAACTTCTTTCCAATGTTTTCATTTTGGAAATCCCTGGATGACCTTGGAGTTCAGCCAGTATCTGGCAGCGACCTTTGCTCGGGACAATCAATCATTCTTGCTCTCCATAATAAAATGCTGTCTTCTGCTATGTTCTGGTCTCTCTGGGTCCAGAAAAGTTAATTCTGGTGTGATGGCCCCTTTTGTTTCCCACATCACCATCACATGAGCTGGTTTCACCAGGACAGGATCTTCTTGTGACCACAGTCTGACATTGTCAGCGGTGACCGGAAGAGTGTCCAGAAAGTTTAAAACCAGGATGGACTCTAGTGGTGACACCACCAGTAGTGTATCTGCCAGAGGGAGGTATTTCAAGGCATCCACATTTGCCACTTGGCCTCCCAGATGGTGTTCCAACTTGTAATTGTACGTAATCAGAATTCAACTTGAAGCACCATCCTAAAGAGGTAGGCCTAGCAGGGGTTAGAGGTCCATTATGATTACAAACATACTTCTGTAAAATGTATTGGTGGAACTTTCTCACAAAGATTACCACCAAACCTTCCTTCTCTATTTGGGCGTATCTTTGTTTGGCATCAGCCAAAGTCTGGGAAAATACACTTTGAGCATTCCTCTCCATTGGTGAGTCAACATTACCTCAATAGTGTATGGGGAGGCATCACATGTCAGCACCACCTCTCACTTGAGATAGTAATGTGCCAACACCTTAGACAACAACAGCTGCTTCTTAACTACGAGACCATTTCCAAGGCAGACTCTTTTTCAGTAGCGGATGCCAGGTTATGAATTGTTACGGAAATTTCACCAACCCAAGGAAAGACAAGTTCCAGTACAGACATGGGAACCATGATACCTTTGATTGCCCTCACTATCTTCCAAAGAGTGTAACTTGGTTTTATTGACTGTGTAGCCCAAGTAAGTCACTTTGGGTGCCTGGAACA